GAGTCGTAACCTATGATGGGCTGGGCCGGATCAGCCTACGAGTCGACCCGGCCCACGCCCAACCCTACTTAGAGCTTATAACAAGTATCATATAAAAGCAGCTTATAGAAGCAACTTATATATTATAAATTGCTGAAAATAGTTGTTCGATAATCAAATATAAAAACCACTTAAAAAGTAATTATAATGTTTGGTAGAAATGTGCTTAATGATCATCAAGTATATATGGTATATTATACTCCCTTTAAAAGTACGAGTTCGAAAAAATCTTTTCATTGTCAATATTACCCTTAACTTTTTTTTTAAAATATTACATCGCTATCCTAATCTATAGTAGTTATCCCATCTTTTTGAATTGGTAATTAAATGATTTATCATATTCATAATGAGACTTAACATGCTATTGGATAAATGAGATACGTTTGATATAATTCCTTTTATCTATTTCAGTTCGCAAAAAAAAATCTAAAAAACATATGCTAGCTAGCACCTAAAAGTTTTTGCACTTTGTAAAAAATATCCTCTAAGTTTTTTAAGTTGCAAAAACACCCCTAAAAATTCAAAATTTTATTAAAACATCTTGAAAATTATAAATTCTACTTATTTTAATTCAGTGAGAAATTTGAAAACATATGCTAGCTAGAAATTAAAAGTTTCTTGACTTCAGAGAAAGCATCTTGTAAGTTTTGAAAATTTTTAAAAACACCCCTAAAAATTCAAAATTTATATAAAAAACCTTGAAAATTTCAAACCTATAAACACTAAAAATCTACAAATAACACAAACAACCCCCGAAAATTTATGAAGTTTACAATTACCACTCTAAACTTTTTATAAACTGTAAAATAAAACTCTCAAAATTATAAAATTTATAAAAATCCTGATAATTTTCAACCTAACAATACATTGAAAATATAAGAATTACAAATATCTCCTACATAATTTATAATTTATAATTTATAGAAAATGCCCTTAAAGTTTTAAAAATTATAAACAAATACTCAAATTTTAAATTTTACAAAGAACACCCTGAGAATTTCAAACATTAGTAAATTGAAAACATATGAATTATAAATAGTTTATAAACAATTTACAATCTATATAAAAAGCTTATAAGTTCAAAAAGTTAAAAAAAGTCCCTAAAATTCATAATTTATAAAAAACATCATGAGAATTTCTAACCTATAAACACTAAAATGAATATGCAAAATTACCAACAACCCCTAAAAAATTAAAAATTTACAAAAATTATCATACTCCCTTTAAAAATATAGGTTTAGGAAAAACTTTTCATGTTTAATATTACCCATAACTTTTTTGGAGAGAACATAACTAATTGAAAATTTATTAAATTTATATTTTATAAAAACACCCTTAAAGTTTAGTACATTACAAATTACCAATCCAAAGTTTAAAAATTTTCAATAATTTTTTGTAATTCCTTAATTTCAATGTAATGTTTAATAGTTTTACGTATTTATAAATTACAAAATTTTAGGGTGTTTTTTATAATTTTGAAAACTGTTGAGCGTGTTTCTTTTGTAGTTTTCTAATTTTAATTGTGTTTTTAATGTAATACATAGTACGTCAATTAATGATGATATTAAAGAGTAATTCGTTCTTAAGATGTATTAGGCCACACATCACTATTCCTAAGTAGTATAGTTTATATATGTAAAAAATTTCAGACAATCTATATAGTGGTTAAAAGGATTCTGACTTTAATATACTATTTTTTATAAATTATAATTAATGTGAACCTACCATATACTGTGGTCATCATAATTTTAATATGTTTGATTGATTGACTATATAGGTATATAGACCATATATTACTTTACTTTCTCGCATGAACTAATATTTGACGCTTAATAATTTACATTATTATTTTTAAATTTAATATAAAGAGGAGCTCTAATAACACTTATTTATTTAGCTATAGGATAATACAATCTCAATTTCCTATTTTTTGCTTGAGATTTATTCTATAGTTATGCAAATCAAATTAGTAACAAAAATAATAATTATTATTGCTTAAATTATGATGATTGTAGTTGGTCACTCACTATAAAATTTTTATGAAGATATATATATATCTTACTTTCTATAGCTATCTGCACTGCCCATGTATATTTTATAAATTAGTTATTAATTTGACATATTAAATTACTTTTCCTTTGTAGAAATTTCTTCTTTGACTTTTGAATTGTGTAATCACTATATCACTATTCTAGCATAGAAATGACATCACTCTAAATAGATTCAAACTAATGTTTGAGTTGAACTGACGTATATACTATTGCTACTATGTGTATATATTTTTTAAGAAAACCATGTGAATACTTTTTAAACAGAAGAGAATATTCTAACATCTGATATTATAAAAACTAAATATAGCCAATTGAGTGATTTTTAAACAGAAGAGAATATTCTAACATCTGATATTATAAAAACTAAATATAGCCAATTGAGTGATTAGAAAAAGAGGATTTATATCAAAAAAAAGCGTGAATATTAGGATAAAGAGGAAAGATAATGGTATTGCCAATAGTACTACCAATAGCAAATTACAATGTAAAGTTAACATATTTTATAGAGCCCAATTACTAGCCATAAGCATCAAGGTTTCTATATATATATTATAATTTATTAATAGGTTATATAATCTTATATAATAAATTGATTTAATACTGAATAGAAGAATTGTTGTAATAATATCGATATTAGGAAAAATTCTTCATGAACCAATATGTTCTTATGATATATATGCTATACACTCTAAATTTT